CATTTTTTTAAAAAAAACCCAAAAAAGGGTTAAGAAAAAAAAAGGAAAAAAAACTTTCCCCCCCCCCCCCCCCAAATTTTTCTGGTTTTTTTTCCTGGGCCTTCACATCTCTAGTCATAAGAGCACGTGAGACCATGTATATATTCTGTGTGGTAACAGGGAAGGGCAATTTACCTCCTTCTACATACCATTCACCACTGTCTACATTGGTGAATGGCCCCTTAATGCTCCCTCCCTCAAGTCTTTGTTTGCTCCCCCCACCCTTTTTGGCTTCTTGTCTGGAATACAGAAGTATCTCATGAGGGATATCAGTGAGGCGCCAATTTCAGTCTCTAGATCTTCCAAGCACTTTGCCATAGAATACAGAACTGATTCAGCAAATAAGGCTGATACAGTATAATTCATAGATTAGCCAATAGCTCTCTTTGGAAGAAAGAGGGTAACATCCATGTGAGAGGATATTTTAGCAACTGCTAAAGATCAAAACACTGAATGATTTTGTTCTATAAGAATAACACTGGAAGTTGTCGCAGATCTTTTAATTGTATGCTGTTGAATTTGGGGTTTTTGTTGAAACAAAGGCTGTTAGATGTACAATGTGATGGTGATATATGCTGTAATAGAAGAGCACGTTTCTCTCTTTCTATTCCACAGTGCTGCAAATTCCTGCCCATCTAGCCCCCGTGGTGCAGGTTCTTCAGGGTACAAAATGGGTCGTGTAATACCATCTGACCTGCATCTAATGACTGACAATTCACAGTCAGAAAATGACAAAGAAGCATCAGGGGGAGATAGCCCAAAGGTAAAATTTTAATTAGAATCCAGGCTATGCAAATCTGCAATTTATTCAGTATTATAATAATGGAAATGTATTTGTTGAAAAATATAAAACAAAAGTAATGCTCCTAGGTTTGTCTTAGCAGTAATGAAAGGCTTCCCTTAACTGTTACGTTACAGAATTGATGTTGTAGAAAACTTATTATGCAAATAATGTAATCTCTTTTTTTTATAGGATGACTCAAAGCCCCCTTATTCCTATGCACAACTAATAGTACAAGCAATTACAATGGCACCTGATAAGCAACTCACACTAAATGGAATTTATATGCACATAACTAAAAACTATCCTTACTACAGGACAGCAGACAAGGGCTGGCAGGTAAAAGTAACATTGTTTTAAACAGATGTTCAAAAAAAGCTGTGGCAGAATACTTAAGCCTTTCCCCCTAGTTATGGTTATATTGCATTGCTTGTAAAATCGGTTTTAGATAGGCTTTTACAATCAAGTATCACTGTCGTCGCAGCATTTTCTCTGTTGAACTGATCTTGTTCCCTGGGATCTTTCTACTAAACAATTGTTCACAGTGTTAGTAAATTCGCAAAGGAATGACCTCTGTAACTTGTACAAATGGTGGTGGCGGCAGCAGACCATGGGGAAAGAAGAGTGATCAGGAAGTAATAAAATGCTAGATATCTAGTAGATGAATAAGTTGCATTCACAATGAAGAAGAATAAACTATCTGCACTATGTAACATGGATAAAGAACTCTGTGCTAACTTCCAAAACTGAACAGTTTTGCTTCTTATACAGTAAACCAGTTGAATGTTTTGTGACATCTTAATGTCACCTGGCAACTACTGGGATGTTTCAGAAAATGGGACTTCCCAACACAGAGTGGAGTGATGCAGGGGATGGGAGAAGAAATGAGCCATTTTTGGCAGGCAGTAAACAACTGAGGGAAAGAACATTTCTGTGAAGAATTCCTCACTACCAAAGTCCATGGCTATCCTTTCACACTTACGTTAAAACCTGTAGCAGATATTGTCTGTATTTTCAGGGGTTTCCCCCCTTGTAATTATACTGGAAGTTTAGTTAGAAAGAACCTCCCTTTTTATTTTTGATTCTGAAAAAAAATGCAAAGCCATTACTACATCTGTGCCAGGACTGTAGTATGAAATGAACAATAAAGTGGGACAAGGCCATGGGGACTTTGAAGATATAGATAGGAATAGATGCCTTTAGTGAAGAGACAACTGTGCTTAGGGAGAGAGCTTGAGGAGAAGGTTTAATAGTGGTGAAAACACTGAACAAGGTGAATGTTGTTCTGTCATAAAACCTGGGGAACAAAACAAATTTTTTACATATTCTAACCAAG